CTGCTGTCGATGGGGAGGGGGAGATGCTGCTGACGGCCTGAGCCGGCTGCTATGTGGGCAGGAGCGTTGCAAACAGGCCAGGAAAAGTGCTGAGGCTGCAGGTAACGTGCCGGCTGCCTCTAATCGGCCGGGGTGGGCTGACCCGGGGCTGCGGAGCAGATGGGGGATTGCGTGCTGCTCCTTATCGCCGAGCGAGTGCACTGCCCGGCTCTGCGACTGCCCGGCCGTGCTCGGCCCCTCCAGCCCCTGCTCTGCACGCAGGGGCCACGGCGCTGACCAGCCCTGCCGCCCCCGGGGCAAACGTCCTTCTGGCACGGCCCTTGGTGTCTTCTGACGGGATATTTTTATATTAAATATTTGGCAGCATCTCCAGCCTATCTCTCTGGCTGAACCACCGCCTGACGCGCACCCACAGCCCTGGGGTCCCCAGGTCCATCTCAGCCTGTCCCCCTCGTGTCCAGAGCTTTCTGGGGGGGGGCAGAAAGGGGAGAACCGAGGCAGCCCCTGCCTCTGCTTTTTACACCGTGTTGCCTTCACTGCTGCAAAGCAAGAGACGGCTTTTCGTCTCCAGGCTGACGTGTTCGGCCAGAGCAAACACAGAGCTCGTGGCCTCAGGTAGCTGCAGCCCCGGTTCTTGCCGGGGACGAGGCAGCATCTTGGCTCTTGCCCCACGTAAAGCAGCTCTGGGCCTCTCTGTGGGGTGCGGCGGGGCCAAAGGAGCAGGCAATGGAGCTGGACCGGGGTGACGGGGGCTGAAACAGCATCTCTGGCCCCAGCGGAGCGTGGGGCCGGGTTCTCCTCGGAGCAGGCACGAACCTGGACCTCGGGTCAGATGCAGTTAAAAACCCAGATTGCTCCTCTCAAATGACACAAGTGCAAATACAGAAGCAGACACCTCAGGGTGGCCACAGCCGCCCAGACCCCACACCCTCGGTGCAGAGCCGCGCTTGCAAAACACCCCTAAAAATAGCACAGGGTGTTTGCAGGCTGCGGTGCACCGGGAAGGGGACGTGGACAAGGAGCAGCCGACCGGGGGCATTCGAAACTCGCTGTGTCCTCTCTCCCCGCAGAGGCTGGTGCAGCCGCGAGCGCGCCATGGCGTGCCGGCCGTTGGCTCTGCCGCCAGCACCGCGCTGCCGAGGCGCGCTGACATGTTCGCTTAATTGGCAGGAGCTCAGGACCGGAGCTGGAGGAGGCTGTTGCCAGGCAAAACCCCAGTTGTTTGTGCAGCAACTCCTGTTTGCTGGACTTTGCCATGTGCAGGCTGTCAAGCAGCACCAGATTGTTATCAGCGCTGCTGTCTGGAGCCACCCGTGGTTGTGGGGTGGGTTTGGGGTTGTTTTTTTTTTTTTTCCTTCTTTCACCTTCTTTTATTGGGTTTGGTGTTTGTTATTCAAATGGACAGGAGCTGGCACGGGGCTGAACGCCTCGTAGGGGGTGGGAGGGGAAAGCTGCTCTGTAACTCTTGGGGCTCTTCTGCACCGGGTTAATCAAACTGCTCCGTGCAAAGCTGGTGGGAGCCTCGGGGCGCATTAGGGCGGCAGGAGGGGGGACGCAGCGATTGCTCATGGCTACACGGAGCCACGGGACAGGCTCCGTGCACAAGGTAAGACCAGGCCAGCTGAGCGATTTTGGATAAATATTACTGCCCGTCAACACGCGCAGGCTCCTCGCGTGCCTTTTCCGTCAGGTTTCTTTTCCCTTTGGCCCCGGGAGATATTTTCCCTGACTCCCTGTGTCGAAAGGTCGGGATCCTGTGCCGCAGCAGGGCTGTGCAGAGGGATCCTGTCCTTCCTCCCGGAGCACAGAGGATGCACGGAGTGCGAGACACACCCCCACACCCCCCC